GAAAGGCTGCAAATACACATTTCAGTTGAAGAGTTGCACTTTACTGAAACATGCTAATGAAACTAAATAGGAAAAATATGTTTAAATTGTGTTTTTATTAATTCCACTGTTTTTTTGGGTTTTTTTTACATTTCTATATATTTATACAATTCTATAATGTCTGTTTTGACATGAGGTTTAGAATATAGATGCAACTCTTTCCAGCTGTTTTCCAGTTTGGTCTGTTTTATTTCCCTTTAACCAGGTAATCAGTCACATGGATTACAGTAAGAAAAGCAATTACACTACACAGACAATGGCACATTAATGAGGGTCGATTAAAAAAATAGCTCAAACTTACATCCAGCAGCTCTCTTGTGAAACAAATGGACTAAGCGAACTTGTGATTTTCATGTTACAGTCTCAGTGTGTCCTGGAGCAACTGAATAAAAGCGTTGTTCTGGTGGCAGACAACGCAGACATGCCATGTAAAAGTATAAACAGTCTATGTTGTAGGCTCTGCATAGATTCATGTATAAGGCTAAGTAATCTTATAATCAGTCTATGCTGTTAACAGAGTGACAGTGACAATAATGTTGTTGTCACAGGTGTAATTTATGGAGGTGTTATCACTACATTTTTAGTTTACAGCTTTTGTTATTTTGTTATTGCTTTTGCTATTATTATTATTATTATTTGTTTTTTTTAAATTAAACTATCAGAGGGTATTTTTTTCTGTGGTAGTAAAATTGTAGAGGAACAGTATGATGGGCACTGCAGTAAAGGTTATTAAATGTTATATTTTGTATTAGGTACTTTTTATCTGAAATGATCCCATATGGAAAAGATATATATAAATCTTATAAAGTTTTTATCTGTCTTGTATGAAACTTGTATGAAAAGCATACAAGAGTGAAAGCACATATAAGATCCCTTGAAAAATTATATAATGAAACTTGTATGTTTTGTATACTTACTAAAAAAATATATGAAAGTAATGAGAAAGTGGCCACTTTCATGAGTAAATCATATATGTTTTTACTATTTCTTTTCCATATGGGATATTTCAGATAACCTGAGATAGTTACAGCTTATCATATAAACATTTCAGGTTTTTGGCATTTTCAAACAGGAGGTTTGTTGTTGCTTTTTCCTTCCTTCTAGAGGAAATTTTGGGGGTTTGTTGGGCAGGTCTGGGATATTTACTGGAAATGGAAATGACCTGCAGCACTAACAAAAATAATGTCTGGTATTATTAACTGACTGGCAAATATGATCTGCAACTGGAGCAGCTGACTAGATGGATGTACTGGTCAGTTAAAAATATATGTACATAATCTAAAGTATATGCAGTATATGAATAGCCCATTAATTTAAAATAAGTGAACATAACCAGTGGCTCTTTCCACTTCACCAATATCCTCTTCTGTATGTTTTCTCTCTCGCTGCAGACTGTGTGGAAATAATTTCTGGCATCCGATCAGTGAAAATCATGAAACGAGTGGGCAGTCCCAAGGGCATGTGGACCAGAGACCCGAGATCCTCCAAGGTTTACATTTTTAATGGCACATCAGGAAACACCATCTACCAATTCAAATCTGTACTTGACTTTTCACGCTCCCTGGGAGTCACAGGCAGCAGAAGCATCAGGCTTCCCTCTGAATGGAGCGGCCCTGGTAGCGCTGTTTACAATGGCTATTTGTATTACATAAAGCAGGAGGCTGAAGCAGATATGCAGGTGGTTAAATATGACCTTCTGAGTGGCTCAGTGACAGAAACTGCCATGTTCCCTGTGGAGGGCCGTGCCACTGTGTACAACCTCAATCCAGAGACTGTTGCAGACCTTGCAGCAGATGATGGGGGTCTCTGGCTCTTGTATGCCCCCAGTGACAGTGAACCAACCATCAGCCTAGCAAAGATGGACGCTGCCACTCTTGATATAGAGCAAATCTGGGACACTCGATGCCCGCGGGAAAATGCAGAGGCGGCTTTTGTAGTGTGCGGGACTGTCTATGTCGTTTACAACACCCGTCTGGCCAGTCGCTCGCGGGTTCAGTGTGTCTTTGATGTCAACGACATGGTGCTCAGTGAAGAGGCTCCACTCATCTACTTCCCCAGGAGGTACGGGGCCCACGCTAGTCTGAAATACAACCCTGAGGAGAAGCAGCTTTACGGCTGGGATGACGGCTACCAAATTATTTATAGACTGACCATGAAGAGGAAACTCCTGGCTTGACAGCAGAGAAGTGGCGTCATATTTTCAAAGACATATAAAAAATAGGAACAGGGAATTTATATAGCCTATCCACCTTTTCCCTATTCATGTGATACTTTGTTTCTGCAATAGTTAAACCACATAACATCCCTTTCTTCTCAGAACTTTAAGGGTTCTTTTTAAATTATAGCCTTTTTACACTTTGACTAGAAAGCTAAGATTTGCATAAATTTTGATTTTTGTCTCATTTCTAAAGTGTGTTTTTATATAAATATGAATGTTTTCACAGAAAATAAATGATAAGATGACATGCTAATTACTGGCTTTGGCTGTGGTTTCACATTTTAACTGAAAGGAAGGTTATCTGTACAATTAAAGAGTGCACCTTTGAAGTAAACGGAACAAAAACTTCTGTCTCCACCAAGAGAACCTATTCCTCTTATAAGTGTGGTGTCTGGTCTTAGTATCAAGTCAACAACTTAGAATTTCTAACTGTCTTCGAGATGCGTTGGAAATGACTGTGTGAACTTCTGCAAAAACAAAATAAAAGGAGGTCCAGTGTAACCTCTACCAGGCAAAGCTGACACATTTTAAGGAATCCACACAACTGACATTTTTAATAGTTGTCATCATATTTCTGTGTGCATAAAATCTAAGCTGAGACATGTAATACCTTCAGTGTGTCCTGGGTGTATTCTGGGGGCTCATGCCTGGAACAGCTTATTTAGGAGTTGCCCAGGAGGCATCCCACCCAGTCAGATACCAAAACCGCCTCAGCTTCACAGAGATGATTCATATCATGAAGAATATCATCTACCGCTGCCATTTCCAGTTTAATAAAACACACAGATTCAGCAAGCGCAGGCTTCACAGTCTTTGTCAGGGTAATGAGAAACTAGTTCATCAGTTGTTTTGCTAATACACACCTTAATCTTCATCGATATATTTAATCCCCAATTGATGTCATACAGTGCTGAAGACTTTTAATTCAACTTGGATTTCTTTAAATTCTTTTATTGTCATGCCTGTTTTTTCTGAGCTCAAAATTCCTCTGTCACTGGTCATTGCCAATTCGTGGTAAATATGATGATCACTGTATTAATTTATTACTCGTCCTCACCAGAAAAAATAAGATGTCTAGCAAGATGCAGGAGACTGTCAACATGCATAAAAGAATAATAGACCAGTGAGACTCTAATCTTGTCATTTTGCATTAAACAGTAGAACATTGAGGGATTTTTTAAATTTGTTTTTTTGTTGTCTGTGTGCCTTTCTGTCACCAGTTTTTTAATAAAATTAGAAGTTCTTAGGTAGCCCATTCTTCTGTTTGTGATGTTTGCTGGTGGCTGGAAAGCAGCTAATATGTGAATTAATATCTGGTGGTAATTTTGACTTACACCCAAAATAGAAATAAAAAGTTTAAGACAGGCAGTAGTGTTATAATCTGTCTGATGTTCAGAAATACAATCTAATGCTGATGTCGAACTCAACCATTTTATGTGCTTAGTTAAGACGAATTCAAGCGCCAGCTAATCAAACATAGTTTTTCTTTAAACGCCCCAGTGCTGCCAGCAGCCAATCAAAACCCATTATGTAATTATCCAGAGAGTGGGATAATTGCTTATACAGTTTAACATCTCAATAAAGGGGAAGTTGATTATTGCATCTTGCAATCACCCTATTTTACTCAAAAAGGGTTTGCTCATGCTAACTGATAATGGAAGCTCAGTTAGGTGAGCTGTGAGTGTTTGGTAGTTGTTGCTACGATGATCATGTGAGCAAAGATGCTCCCCAGATGTCACGTGCTGAAACAACATGTATGCATGAATCTTCAGTCCTCCAGATCAGTGCGTTTTAAATCAAGCTACCTTTAGTATGTCCCATTTTTTAAGCAGGTCATTCTGGTTATTTGTTTTGGCAGATGTCAAATTACACACGACACATCCCCCAAAGGTCTCCTGGGATCAAACCAAAGATCTTTTGCTTTTGAAGTAAATGTGTAAACCACTGCACCATGCAGCCACTACTGAAACACACTTTAAGTAACAATGATAGACTAATATGCTTATGTTTTTAGACTTCTGGCATCAGCTAAGAACTATCAGTAACAGTTCTCATGAAAATGGTAGAGAACACCTCTGAGGGTGATCTGAAGAAGTGGCCCGTAACAAACTCGCAATAACAAATTCAGTTAGTGTAGCGTGAAGAGGTTATTATTTCTCTGCTCTGTTTCTGCTCTTAGAAAAATGCTATTGTGGATTCTTGAATAATAGGTGCTCAACTGTTGCAATGTGGAGTGTTAATAAGCAGAACACTTCCTTTATAACAAAAGAAAAATCAATGAAGTAGCCAAACATGCTGGTGAGCATTATTGGAGGCCTTTTCTTGAGGTCACCTTCCCACTTGGTGAAAACCTGATCATATTGACCCCTTATAACTCAGTTTTTACACTCTCACGAACACAAATCCAGTAGAATCAATAACTGAAGGCTCATTATTCCTGCAATGCAACATGGATAACAGTCTTCCAAATCCACATAAAGGAAATACAATATATACAGAGCTTAGCTAGTATCTTAAATAAAAAATGACACAAAACAAACAAAACTATGAAAATGCCATTCAGTTTATTAGAGCCTGTCAAGTCCTAACTGCTGTGTGCTGTGTGTGTGTGTCCACCCCTCATTTAATTCGACCATTAGATTCAGTTGGAATCCCATTTCCTCCGTGCTCAGTCCTGCTTGTTAAGCCGCTGGCTGTGTTGTCATTATATGGTGTGTTTGCCAGAAAATTCTCAGCACAGAGCCTATTTTGCAGAAGTCTTTTAATCAAAGAAAAGAAAATCATGTCACAGAACTGATAACACATCACGCCCCATGGGAGAAAAAAACAACAAGCAATTTTCTGATGTGGATTTTCAGACTTGTTAAGACACAAAGAAGGCGGTGGAAATACTCTATGCCATTTCAGTTTTTTACACAATGGTTCACTCAGCGTTTGAATCTCCATAATGATCTAAATTCTAAAAGGAACCCATAATAGACATTTGTCTGAACTAACATTTTCTCAAACATTTCTATTATTACAAATACAAAATGCCCGATAAAAAATTGGAAATTCAGTGCTATCGTAACAGTTGGAAGGGATATGAGATCATATCAAGAAACATTACAATATTAGGCAAAGAAGGAAGGTCTTTAAACAGTCCATAAACTGAGGCAATTGATTTAACAGATTTTATCTACTATGAAAACACACCACATTGTTAGACCATCATAAAGTACGTTTTATAAAAGAACAGAAACTACATTATAATATTTCAACACATGTTTCAGATTTTACATTTAAATAAGATATTAGAAATCGATGATGGTGTTAGTCTACAGAGGAATTTCACCATTGAAAACTGTGTGGATGAGAGCAAATTTCAAACATCTGTGAAAGGGGTGTTGATGCTATGATGGATTACACCAAGCACAAACAATAATGCACTGACTCACTCTCATGGTAACAAGTGCCAATTAGAGAAATGCCACTGCTCTATAGATACTGACCTGTCCACCCATCAGCTGCCCCCGCTTTGTCATCCCAGCCTCTTACCGAAGTATAGCAGTATTAAACTGCTCTCTCTGGGTAAACTTCCCATGAAGGAAATGACTAAAACAGGCCCTATTCGGTCTGCTGAATCCATCTGCTCATGTTTTGATATCTGGACCCAACTTTTCAATGACATTTTCACAGACTCTGTGATAAACAGCATGTTCATTGTACAGCAGCCTGCAGTTTAAGTATTCCTTTGCCAGAGATGTCTAGACGGTTGCATTCCATTGCCAAGAACATTGTTAAATATTAGATTAAATTTGCTGTAGGCTGATGTTATAACACAAAATTACTATTTAATAAATGGTCCTCATGTCAGAATTTTTTTTTATCTGTACAAACCCTACCAAATATAATCTTTAAATGTTGTCTGTCAGCCTCGCTGCTTAACATTTACTCTGCATATTATCATGTCTGGGCTAAATGTCCTGATTTTAACTCCAGAAAATTATGAAATAAATGTTTATTCTGGTTACAAAGCTAAAACAAAAAATCCCTAATTATACAATATTAGCATAGCTTTAGTTAAATTTTGTTTTTGTTTACAAAGAGTTGTGTATGAGCATGCAGCAGGTAGGCAGAAAACCACAGAATATCTTTATTAACAAGGGTAACTTGTAGTAATAAAAAAATAAGAATATAGTTGCCAGAAAAAAACAGTAAAATAGGTGACTATTTTTCACTGGATTTTTTGCTGGATAGCTAGCGCTCATAACCAGAGATAAAATAACATGAAAGTCAGGTTAGTATGATAAAGGAGTTTCTGTGTGATTGAGGTCCACGTTAAAAAGCAGATGCACAAGTGGTAGACTAAAAATACATCCTCAATGAGAGCAGTCCGGAGGTTCACCAGAAAGTAACCTTGAAGGAGAGATTGGCCTATTAAAAAAAAGTGGGGGGGTGGGGGGTGTCCAAATTCATAGGCTGCATCCTCCTGACGGTCTACGTGGACCGGGTCCTCCTTAGGCCGGGTAGACTGGAAGTGAGCGGCTGTGAAATTGAACAGTCCAGCCTTCAGTTTTGCGTCACCAGCTGTCTCAGTGGAGTTTAATAAACTTGGCCATCTGCTCCTTTCTATTTAAAATATAACAGGACACTGACGTAAATTCTCGATCATTCACACTTCTGTTTAATCAGTTTTCCGTTTGACGTTTATTCAGCTGTGTGAAAACTATAACTTTAATCTCAGCCAAACTGATTTACTCACGAACAAATAAAACAGTAAAAAAAGCCAAACAATAACATTTTAAAGTTATCTAAGCGACACATATATAATGTTTAACCTGAGTAGCGAAAGACCGCGGGGGGTTTGAAAATGATGTGCGGGGAGTTTGCTGTTATCTAGCTAGCTAGCTATCGAGCTGGTGGGTAACAGACGCCTCCGAAAATGTCGGCGCACTTTTGCAGATGTGTGATATCTTGATGAACCAAGCAGATATTTGAAGTTTACACGCCCACATTCTCGCCTGAAAATATCTTAAAAGTTTATTTTGTGACCCAGAAAGATTAATAAGAGTAATATTAAAACTTAGTAGCGACCGCCATTGTTGAAAACTGGAATTGGCTGGGCCACACTATGAATTCTGGGACATGGTGGGCCAGGAAGGACACGCCCGACCCATCCTTCAAATTCGGGGAAAATGAGGACGCAATTGTCGGCTGCATTTGGAGGAGTCTACCAATTTAAACAGCCTTTGTCGCGTCGCTGTGATGTAATCGGCCTACAAATGTGGCCTCAGGAGGATGCAGCCTATTAATTTGGACACCCTCTATATGTATAGCTCTTTTCCTCTCTGCTGTAAAAGGCTGATGGAGTTTTGTCGTCACCACACCTGGTGGGCAGGTGGTGTGGACATCTAAGTCTGTTTATGCGATAACTCAAGAATCACATGACGTAGGAGCTTCAAATTGATATCATACGTGCATGTACAAAACATCTTGTATAAAGTTGAATTTCGGGGACCTTGACCTTGGAATCTCAGTGGCCTCGGCGTAAAGGTCCATGACGAAATATTTTCAGTTAAAAAACTGCTTTTCATCTTAATAAGTGTCAAACATGATCATAAGAGAGCAGTCAAGGCCATGCCGGCAACCAGCTAGGAATTATGAAATGGCTTGTATTCATTTTATGTGATACTGCAATTTGTGCTTCATTTTGCTATCTGCCCTGAATAAAAAATAAATAAATAAATAAAAACCTGCCTGCTGCAGCATACTATTAATCTTAGGTGTTTTTACAAATGCACTGAAAGTTCTGGGTGCTGACTTTTTCTAACTATTATATGATGGAGAATCTGTAAAAGCTCAAATATTTGTTGCATTAGATGATCTTTAACCTGTCAGCTCCTCAGTACAAAGTCTGTATGATAATTGATTGTGCTAATTTGGGAGTGATGCAGCTAACAGTCTGGAAGTTTCACGGCTTCTGAATGGTTGTAATGTCTCCTGCATGATCTGTCTAGTCAGCCCCTTTGTCAAAACCAAAAGGTATCATTTCTGGGAGTGACAGAACTTCAGATTATGTCATATTGTGTGATCCATATGAGAAAGGACAGCTTAGGTAATTTCCTGATTTGGTCTCCTGACATTGTTTAAGTACTTGTGAGAAAACTAAAAAAGTCACAGAAATCAGTTAACGTTTGGGGGATTAAACAATAGACTGTAAATAAAAGATGAACATAGCCTCCTTGTTTGAAAAGTGAAGCCAATATGGAAAGTGCCTTAAGCAAGTTTTCTTCCAATAAATAGTAGAGGCTGACTCATCAGGTTGCAAGTCTACAGGAAGAAAAACCCTTCTGCTCAATGAGTCTCAGTAAACCTCTTGTCAAATTTGCCACTAGCATTTAAAACAATAAAGCAGAATGTGCTTTATGTTGGCCTAGGCTATGATTGATGAGCAGTATTTGGGTCATTACTCCAAAGTAATACATTGCACATTTCTCATTACTTTCCTCATAAGTAATGTAGTACATTACATAATTACTCATTTGGGAAATTAACTGGTTACACTACTTGCTAATTTAATTTTGTGTTTTCCTTTAATAATCAGCTAACTATATAAACCCAAAGCTATAATGCACAAACTGACACAAATCCCTCTCTCACTGAGGACAAACATATCACATCTGCCTTTTAGTGTCACCTACAAACACAGAACCTACAATGTGCTTTCTTTGCTAGCTTTTGCATTAGCATGCTATCTGTGCAGATGCCTGCAAAGAGCCAATGCTGTGTGAGCAGTACAATGTGGCTGTTTCTATTCTAGATGTAGTTTGCACTTTGCCATTGCACTCTTGTTCTTTCGGGCAATAAAAATAAAAGGAATATCCAAAGTTCCACTCCTTAAATGGTGTAGACCATTCTGAGATCATCATTCCAAATCATCTGATTGTTGTGTAAATATACATTTAAAAAGCCATGTTTGATTTGTTTTTGTTTTTTTAATTCTAAAGAAAAAGTGACGCTTTGGAATGTAAGTAATGACAAAATTGTAACTGTAATGTAAGTACTGAATTTAGTACACGAATATGTTAAATTACTGTGATATTGAAAAATGCTATACTAATATATAATAATATTATATAACGTGTTACTTTGGAACATGGTACACCCAACACTACCGATGAGTCCCTATGAGAGTGGAGTGTTCCTCGGTTTCTCAGCATCATCCACCCCTCTCTCAACACATAGGGCTCCAAAACACCAACATGGTAATGGTAAAAATGGGCAGCTTAAAGCTTCACAACAGGACTTTATTAACCAAAGGGTCATATCACGTTGGCTGCAGACATCTTTTATATACAGTCTATGAGCTTAACATAATTGGATATAAAAAAAAACGAGTTCATAACTTGTTCAAGTAAGTGCTTAATTAAACTTACACAAATTTAGTATCCATTGTATGTAAGGGTTATGAGGGAGCTTGACTAAAATTGCATCATCGTCACTTGTGCAGCATTGCAGCTGCTAGTGTGTAAAGTCAGTACGATAAAGCAATGCAACGATCCGTTCAAAACTGTAACTCGGTATGATGTCTGGAGTAAAAGGCAGTTGTATCAAACATATCGAAGGTGTATATTCCATAGATACGCAGACTGCATCCATCATCTTTTATCCAACTAAAACTTGAGTGACTGTAAAGAGAGCCAATAATTACCAGGGACCAATCAAATTAATAATACTGATACAGATCAAACATTTTCTCACATCAAATATCCTCCAAATGCCACATATTACAGATCCAGCCTAATTTATCCCTGTAAGTGAATCCAGCAGTATAATTAGACAGCATAAACATCAAGAAAGTTGTTTTTTTCATTTAATATTTTAAATCATTACCACCAACAAGGCTACATAAATTAAAGTCATTTTTTTTAAATCTAGCCTTATCATTATATTTCTCTTCTGTTTTTTTCTGTTTAGATAAAACATACATATGGTAACCAGCAGATGCCTGTACATAAAGCTATACACATCCACCAAAATCAGATGAAAAAAATTACATAAAAAAGCACAATATGTGACAAAAGTGTTTCTGAAAGGTGTTTTTCTCTGAAAGAAAACATGAGCGTTGGTGGGAGTTTTCACCTGGATAAGAGGGTGAGATTGCAACATCAAACAGAGAAAGAGGTAAGGGTGTGTAAAGTGTGCTCGCATTTTCACTGTTTACAGAAACCTTTGCAGCTCCCTCTGTGAAAACGTTTGTGTGTCAAAATAATATTTTGTCTTTTAAAATCTGGCTGTGCCTTGTGTGGTAATTTAACCTCCTACCTCTTACGCTGAAAATGGACAAAGACCCGAAAAAAATCTGCAATGCAGCCAATTTGCTCTGCTGTGAAGCCCAATAATCTTGCAGCTTTTCTTCTTTGTCATGTGAAATGTCTGCTTTTGAAAACACACCAAAGCTGCAGTTTGTCAGGCTGACAGTATATTAGTTTCAGTCTGATTCAGCCTCTCTTCAGTAAGATGGAGATCTGATAATTGCTTCTGTTAGTGATGAAACTGGAAGTACAGCAAACTCAGCTGGAGCATCACAAACAATAACGAATGGTGGAGTGGTTTTATATCTAATATTTCCAAAATGCTACACTCAGCATCATTTATTCTTATACAGCTGTAGAGTTTTGAAAAAGCTTCAGATCTCTTAAGGTCTTCTCCTTTTCTGCTGAGGCCATGTCCTCAGCTTCCCTCTGTGAAACCTCCACTGCTTTCAAGGAGTGATATCCCACTGAGCTTTTTTATTTTTTTTTCATCAAACGTCTCTGCAGTGCAATGTTGAATCTTCAGTGTTTAAAAAGACTCCTGTGAGGACACCAGAATCAGCTCGTCTCAGCTCAGACGGCTCAGTATCTGCAGACTGCATGTCAGCCAAATGACTTCGGGCCATCAAAACACCCACATTTGAAATTGAGGACCCTAAATTTTAACCCGAAAACAGAGTTGGTTTTACACAACTAACTGACGGACGGTAGTCCGAGATCAGTTCTTGGGAGTGCTCTGGGACTAGACTCGAGGAAGGGAGAAACAGAGGGAGAAAGTGGGAGAGGGACACACGCTGGGGTTGTATTTCTCCTCAATCAGACAGACAGGAAGTGGTTTAGCAGGAGGACGGAAACCCCCTTCTGGGCTGCTGGGTCACAGGTGGCTCTGCTCAGGGACTGGCTGGGGGCCTGGGTGAAGGGCAGGAGCCCTGGCTGTCAAAGCTGGCTGTCCTCGCCTTCCACTACAGGGCACACAGACACAAGGCAGTGATTTATGGCACATATGTCGCTTTGCTCACTTTCAATATCGGCCAAAGAAAGGTGTCAAATCAGTGTGTCAGAACATTCAGTAAGTGACAAAAAAGTAGCATGAAACCTCAGCACTAAACATACAAAATCTCATCATCGTTTCTTCTTCTGTGCCTTAAAATGTTGAATTCAAAACAAAGAAAGCTCCCTAATCACCTACACCTTATTCCGCAGAACTTTCTTTTATTTTCATTTTCTTGGAGCTATTTTCCAGAAAACTTTCTTTAATGATGCAAAATGTAATAGAGTCACATCTAGCTGTAAAAAGCCTTATGATTTGGCTGCAATTATAATAGAAATAAAGAAAGCCACAGTTGTTATCTTTAGTGCTGGCTTGTGTATAATGAAATTTGCTTTAAATATCCATCAAGTTTTGGAACGGCAATTTCTATAACGCAGAATTAAAAACTGAATTTGTTGCCATGGGTTCAGCAATGCTCTCACTACTTCCTAAAGTTACCATGGTTTTTAAATTTGCTTCATGTGTATTCTGATTGATAATTGCTTTGTAGCTGCATTTGCATTGAAAGTGGACGTGGTATGTGTTTCCTTGGTTCTTTTTCTTATATTCTCATCAGCCAATTGATTAGGTACACCTTTCTAGTACTGGGTTGGATATCCTTTTGCCTTCCATCACCTACAAATAGGTCATGGAAACCTTCAGAGATTTTGATCCATGTTAAAATGATAGCACGACACAGTTGCTTAATACACTTTGTTGGTGTCACATTCTTCATGGGAATCTCCCATGACTGTGGAGGCCATTTGACTCATTATTACGCTCAAGAAACCAAATTGAGATGATTTAAGCATGGTGCGTTATCCTACGTAAGTAACCATCAGAAGATGGGTAAACTGTGGTCATAGGGGCATAGACATGGTCAGCAGCAATACTTAAGTTAGCTGTCAGGTTTAAAAAAATATAATCTGTTACTTGGAGCCCCATAATGTGCCAAGAACATCTCCCCACTCTATTACACCACCAGCAGTAGCCTGAACTGTTGATACAATGCAGGTTGCTGTTTACATCAAATTCTGATCCTACCATCTGAATTTTGCAACAGAAATTGAGACTCACGAGAGCAAGCAACATTTTCCCGAATTTTCTTATCCAATTTTGGTGAGCCTGCATAAACTGCAGCCTCACTTTCCTATTCTTAGCTGCCAGGAGTGGATGAAATACAGAGTTTGCTCTAGATTAAGAACCAGCACAAGCCTGGTGGGAAAGCTTTAGTAGAAATGTTATTTGAGTTACTGTTGCCTTCCTCTCAGCTTAAAGCAGTTTGGCCAGGCAGCTCTGACCTCTGGCATAAACAAGGCATTTCTGCCCAGAGAATTACCGCTCACTGGATGTTTTCTCTTTGTCTGAGCATTCTCTATAAACTCTACAGATGGTTGTGAGGGAAAAGTCAGTAGATCAGCAGTTTGTGAAATGCTCAGACCAACCAGTCTGGCACCATCATACCATTTTCAATGTCACTTAAATCACCCTTTATCCCCATTTTGATGCTCACTTTTAGCTTCAGCAGGTCCTCTTGACCATGTCTATATGTCTAAATAAGTTGTTCTGATGTGATTGAGCGATTAGGTATTTGTGCTAATGAGCTGTTGAGCAGGTGTACCCAATGAACTGGCTGGTAAGTGTATACACAAAGGGGAAAGGCAAAGGGTAACTTTTGAATAAAGCCTTTATGTAAGTAAGCTGTTCTAAAAGCTCAGTTTCATTTTTTTCTACACTTGGCTCCGTATGATGTCAGGAGGAAGGGATTTCTGTAATGTACTAATGTGAGCCAGTTTGATCATAGGAGACCAACCCAAGTACAATTTCAAAATTCTATTATTGAGGATGAGCCAATCGGAAGAAGCTTGGCTTAAAGAGAAGCTCATTAGAGACAGTGGAACAACTGACAGGCTTCACCAAAGCCCGGTATAAGAAACATAGGGATTACTTTCAGTCTGAGAATGAAAATATGGAGCTACAGTTTTAGGATAATAGGCCCCATTTGTAAAAAACAGGAAACTTTAAAAAAGTAACAATAATATAGAATATTTTACAGAAACCAAGCAAATATTTTCTATGTCATTATAATCTTTGGTACACATGTAGCATAATTCTAAGTTTTGACTTCCTACTTGTAAGGTACACATAAAAAGTAAAACTGTGCTGCTTTTTAGTCGCTTCTTAACTTCTATTTGTCAACGTCTTTCGTGCTGATTGTGCTAAGCCAATTTATCTATTATTATTTGTTGTTTATGCGATGCTAATGCATGTGCCAACAGCTATCATTGCACTAATCGATTGGTCAAGAAGAGTTCCAGGTCCAGGAAGTCCAGGTTTTACAACAATCATATTTTTTGATGGTTTATGGATTTTTTTGCTTTGGTTTTTAGAGATATCAATATTCTCATAAAGAGTATACTTAATTACCTCAATAAGCAGTTTTCCAGTGGCTGCTCCAAAGTGTATTGATGAATGAGCCAAATTAGACAAACAACTAACTTTAAAGTTAATTTGCAAAGCGCTCCGTGGACCTCTGACTCAAACCTCAAGCAGCATCTTTCTTCAAGTCTCTCCTTCAGAGCCCTTCACAGTTTGAATCCTCTTCCCTATAGCAATATTCCTTAAGTAGGCTGAGAATTACCAGCTAAGCACCCTGATTCCTAATCCAAAATCATAAACACGTACAGAATAATCCATCCTCAAACTTACCTCCTTCTCAGATTTCTTGGGCTCCAGCAGGGGGTGCCAGTGTGCAATGGGCTTCCGCGGATAGGCCAGCATTTCGTTCCAGTGGTCCCTGCCAAGTCCCTCAGCACTGCATCCGACCCTCATCACACCAATGATCTCATTATGACCTACCCTGTAGGGACACACGAATACTGGTATGAATACGTCTGATTTAACTTGAGGTGACATCTCATACATCACATTGTTTATAACTGTAAGACGCCCATTTTGTAATCAGTGGAGACACAAATCTGAGTGTGGTTGTCCCGCCGATTGACGTGGTGGATCTGCAGCTGATCCACTCTGTGGCAGAAGAACTGACTCGCTTCAGAGCTGATCTCTGCTCTCCTAACAATGTGAAGTGTAAATGGAGGAAACACATAACCCCCGAGATTATTAACAGCACTGGATTTTCTCCTTGCATAATAGCAGACTGTAAAGAAAGCACTTGGGGTCGCACCTCTAATCCTGGTACTGCTCTGTTAATAAGAAAGACAAAATATGATCTATATGCATATATATATTTGGGGGGTTTTCCCCATTAAAAATGTCTCCTACTTCAAATGAAATGATTATGTGATTATTCCAGTCAAAAATAAAGTTTGTGTTTTAAATAGACTTTATACACCAGGACTATAACGTGTATACAGCACTAAAAGCATCTTCAGCTCTACTGGACCAGTAGGTGTAGGATTATAAATCAGTTTATAAGAGAAACACGTCAGGTGGAGACTAATTTGGAGGCAAAGTCTGGGCAAAGTTGTCCTGTATAGTGGATATACTGGACAAAGGATGTTGAAAGAGGAGCTGCCGGTCAGAAGACTCATGAATGTAGTGAGGTAGGATATGCAGAACGTCCATGTGACAGAAGATCATGTGATATGGTGAGATGGAGACAGATGGTCTGCTGTGGCGACTCTTAAAAGGAGAGCAGAACAAAGAAGAAGATACGAGACATCTCATATGAGGCCTCCTTCTCCTGTCTGTACATAGATGTGAGTATTAAGATCTGTTGGTGAGGAAATGCTCTCCATTTCTAGATGATTGAAGCCTGCAGCTGTGCAATGGTCATTGGTTGTGGCAGCTTCGGATGACCTCATTAACCCAGCTCATGTCAGGCATATTCAGTAGCAGACATTATGGGAATGATGTTGGCAAAAGAGGTGTCTGGATGTGTTATGAATCCATAAAGACCTACATTACTATGTCAGTCATACCTGTTTTTGTAGTTAGTTTTGTCTCCTCAGTCAGTCACATCTCCGTGTTTGTTTGTCTTTCTGTCTTCTGTAGGTTTGTGCCTGTGTTTCTGTATTATTTATTTCCTGCTCCTGTTCTGTATTTTGTCCTACTTGCCTTATCTCGTTATCCCAGATTTGTTCCCACTGTGTCTCCCACCTGTTTCCTCTCCCCTCATTACCTGGTGTGTATTTGTTGTCTGAGTCTCCCGTCGTTCTTTGTCGCATTCTCCCTGAGGTTGTGTGCCCTGTGTGGTCTGTATTGTTTCCATAATGCCAGTTCCATATGTTCTTGGTTCCTGCCTAGTCTAAATTTTTCTTATTTTGTATTTTGCACGAGTTACAGCAATAAAGCGGTTTTTTGAGTCAAGGTTTGTTATCTGCCTCCTGCATTTGGATCCACAGTCTGCCTGTCACACAGCAACATATGACACAGACATGTATGCCAGCATCAACCATGACTGTAGTCAGCTTTAGTGATGTGTCGGTCGTGAACGAAATGGCTCTTAGAGCCGAAGTGAACGAGGCGAGCCGGCTCCTTATCGCGAGCTGTGGGTTGTTTTTTTTTCTTTCTCTCACCCTCTCTCTCGCACTTTTTTTCGCTTCACTCCGCACGCGAGCCTTGTGCTTTGCGCTGGGAAGAGGGGGGAGGGGCGGTAGTTACACTCGCAGTAGCACAGGAACAGAGCGGGAGGGAGAGAGAGAGAAAGAGAGCCAGGGACAACAACGTCACATTAGAAAGGTATAGTAATCATCCACAACTATTTTCAGTTGCGGATGATAAAGGATTCAGAAAGTTTATTCATGCAGGTCCATATGACAGAGAATATGCATGTTCTTTTTGTTTTCATATTTTAATTTATATTTAATTGTGTTGTGGTTTGCAGTGTTTTGTGTTGTTTCACTTTAAATTTGTAAAAGGAAAAAGCTGAAAATTTAAATAGTTAAAAGTTGAATGTGAATAGTTGGTTTTTGTATTATATGATTTATTTATTACATTTTATGTGGAGTGAATAAATAAAAGTATATTTACGGTGGCCCCTAGAGACAAAGCACGTAACAAACTCCAAAACACGTACAAACCCCAAAGCACGTAAAAACTCAGAAGTACGTAAAAACTCAGAAGTATATATAAACATATATAAATAAAACCACTTTTTTTTACATTAGTAATTCCTTTTGTGCATAATTTTATATTATTGTTAATAATAAATTAATTAAAGCAACAAAACAACCTGAAGAGCCGGTTCGGAGCCGAAAGAGCCGGCTCTTTTTAGTGAGCCAAGCCGAAAGAGCCGGTTCTCTAAAAAGAGCCAGAAATCCCATCACTAGTCCGCTTCAGTCAGTTGTGGCACTAATGACAATGTTGTGCTTTTGTGGTCTGAGGCTGCCTTGAAAAATGCAAACTGAACCAATTCTGAGGTGTACAAATAATATATAAATTAGTTTTTTTTTTTTTAACAAAACTAAATAACATATAAACTGTAGTTTATATGTGCCAGCAAATAGATACTCTGCAGGATGTGAACTTTTCTAAAGTATTACTTTTACTGAGTGCGTGTGAAGAAGTCAGGAAAGGGTTTTTATTATATTAAATTTCACACAAGTGAAAATAGGGCATGAAGTGACACAGTGTATGTGTGTCACAACCGGCTAAGAAATTACTTAAATTGTTGGATATGGTTTGACGATCTATGGATGCATCCCCACTGAAACCCAGTTGACAGAACAGCTGCTAAAATAACACTGAAATAAAAGACAATACAGGACTTTATACCCTTTATCCTTCTTGCATTTACCTAGCAAGAGACTTGGAAAATTTACTTTGTGAAATCAGTTATTTGGCCTTTATTTGTTAAATAGAAATCTGGTTACATGTGCATTTATTTCATTTTTTTTATTTTCAAGAAATTTTAGACTGCCTCCCAGCATTGCAAACATCTCCCACACAAACACTGTTTTCCTCACATTTAGTTTTCTTGGTATCTGGTCAGCCTGATCATGACTGCTGTGGGAGCTTCATATGTTCAATGAAAAGGCAAATGGATAAAAATGTATCAGACAAAAAGCCGAAACATTTTTTCACTATTACTGAATGAGCAAGTCAAGTATATACGTACAAATCATAGTCCATGACGGAGATGTGCAGGCTGACGTGGTCCATACTGTCCGGTGGGATGTCAAAGATGATGGCCTCGTTGTAGGTGGGATTCAGGGTGTTCTTTTTAATGCTCGTCTTCTTCTTTTTCAAACGTCTCCCATCACAGATGAGCGACACTTTCACGTAGGGATCTGATAGGTGAGAGGAAAACAGGATAAACAAGGGCAGAAAATGTGTCTTTATAGTTGAATATCATTATGTTTGGACAACTTCCAAGTTGTACGTCTCTTTCAGGAGCAGCCAGAGCAGCAATTATCACGAAAGCCTCTGGCAAATTTTAAAAACAACAAAGCTTCTGTGGTTACTTTGACTGCCAAAACATCTTCAAAGAAGTCCAATGAATACAGTGTTAATAGTGTTAACATGAAAGCAACACTGGGGGAACCAGGAATCAGTAATGTGCATAAACGTAGATGAGTGAATGTCTTATCTAACCAAAGACAAGGAGAGGCCATAGAAAACTGCTAAAAAGCATGACTGAGAGAGTCTCCTGAATGCTGATTTCAATTTTCATCTGTTAGTAATAAATCACTTTGCATGAGTTATTATACTACACTAATCAGATGTAAGCCACCTTAAAAAAGCCAGAGCATACAGCCCGATATACTTAAAGGCACGGTTCAGTAAATCGAGATAATGGCAGTCAGCTAAATCCACGAAAACTCCAAGGATTAAAATTGTGAATAACATAAAAATAATTTAAATGTCATTTAAAACTGGAAGAAAATTACCTCTTTCACTCCGAATTACACCTAAAGCCTGGCATTTAACGTGCAATAAATGTCACGTTTCATAAGTGGTATCAGTATCGTAGGGAAAATGTTTAATAGAAAAGTGGAACAGCGGCACATTAAAATAAACACACCGCCTGAAACTATTTGCTGACATTGTCTTAATATTGCAAGTGCTGCTTATTAATATTTGCTGATATAAACAGAACGCAGCATTAGGGAGAGAGCTTTCCTTTGTTTATTTAATTTGACATGCTCACAATTGGATTCTCAAAGGAGCACCATTCATTTTGAGTCAGTGCAGCTGAAAGTGCAGGCACAACACAACACACCTGAGTATCCAGTGATGTCCATGGCCTTTAGGTTCCTGCACTTGATGACAGTAAGTGTGAGTCTGCCTGCAGTGGGCAGGTAGCATAGTGAAAACATGATCTCTCCAAGGTCGACACTTTCCTGCGGGAAAACAAACACGAGCACAGATGAAAAAAAAAGAATCTCTTTTAGTTTCACATTGACATTCAGCCTGGTGCTTCGATTCAGGGAGAAGTGATGTACAATAAGTGTATTGTCTCTTACTGAAGGTTTGTTTCTTGGATCAATGCTTATAGTTTGTTTAAAGTCGGCTCTTTGTAACCACTACAGCACTTAGACTGAGTGAAGCTAGGACTGCATAATGCACTACTGGGTTATCTGTTCTGAAGATTCTGAAGATATCTGATGCCCCGATTAGTCTCACAGCTGAGACTAGCTATCTATTTAGAGCACAGATTACACACAAAGATGCATTAAAGAGTCAATTTGATGCAAAATAATGCAACATTTCCCCTTATTGGTACCAAAAAGCAGCTGCATTGTGCTCCTGTTCTTGGATCTCTGCACCATGCAGCATATACTTTTATCATAAAGTACACTGCAGTTTGGAGGGTTGCCTGCATTTTCTTTAGAGTTCCTCTGTCTTTAAGATGAGATTTCTTTGTTAGACTAAGGTAGCAGAGAGATGTGAGGATATGAAACTGCAGCTGGATTTGAAACAAAGACGGCACTGCCCAAAAGGGAACTGTAAGCACTAGCAAGGAACCTTAAAGATTAATTTGCATGATGGAAGAAGCTAATAATTTCTAGACAGATACATAATACTATACATTTCTTAATTGATTGTTACATTATAAAAGAGCTTACTTAGACTCTACAGCCACCTTGAAGTCTAATTGCAATCCGTGTCAATGTTTAATCGCTTGCCATGGTTCTATATTCCTCTGCATACATTTTACACTACTCAAGCAGTTATTCAAGGCCAAAAGGGTCCACCCTGCATTAAGTTTAAGGCCAGACATCTCTAAAGGAGATGTTAGTGGAACTTCAAAAAGCCTTTGATCAGTTTCTGACTTTGCATTTGCAAACGATTATGAGAAAAACAATTGTGAATTATTAAGTGAATGAAAACCCAGAAAGCAGAAAACATGTTTTTTGTATTTTGCACGACTTGCACGACGTTCATCATTTTGAAATGTTTACATCTGTACAATTATAGAAAAATCCAGTACATATTTACTGTATCTGTCATGTGCAAAGAGATTCTTGACTCTTTTATTTTTGGAGTAAAGAGTGGGACTCCACCCAACATTGAGGCAATGCCACAGGTTCACAAGGAGGCAAATTAATTTGAGAGTCAAGTGCATTTTTCTATAAAATTAGTTAAACAGATTAGATTTGACCCGCTTTCTGTTCATCTGTACATGTAGATCTCATTTCCAGTGTTTTATTATGTGCACCAGAAGGTGCTAATGTTTCAGAATTATATTACTCTAATGTGTTTGGTATGACCTTACCAGCTGGTAGTTGGATTCATCTGTGTCCAATCAAAGTCCAAGTTATTAACAATGTCACCCGTAGAGTGAGCCACATATGGGGTGACTAATGGTGCATGGCTCATTTTACACTGAGGAAAGCACAACACAGACTGAAATGTTTGCACTTTTTGCAAATGTTTTTTTTTTGTTTGCTTCAATGGACCTTAAATATATCAAAAAGAAATATTTAAAATCCAGACTTGTGTTTGAATTCCTTTCTTGTTGTCTTCGTCAGTCTTCTCTAAGTGCACCACAACATTTCATCAGTTTCAGCTAATTATAAAGCATAATTTATAATTAAAGCATAATTATGCTTTAATTAAGGCATATATGCCTATATATATGCATATATATAGGCATCTATATGCCGTTGTTTGTATTGACGACATATAGGCATAGAGGATGATATATAACATTACCTTGGACCTTTGACCTCTTCCTAAATGTCAAATACGATTTCCTAAAAAAATCTCCTTCATCTTTGAAACAATGCTTAAAATGTTACTGCCTATTTAGAAAAAGGTACTGGTGTGTGGTCACATTTGACCTCTGATCTCACTTTTACATTTTGCAAGTGCCTTTCTTTCAAGCTGGCCCAAAAATGTGTTATATCTTTAAATAAAGTTATGGTGGGGCGTGGTCTGCAGCGTGGCTGCAAGGGAGGCGGACGCACCTGGACATGGAAACTTGGTCGGGTCTGCCGTGGATTTATTACAGTGGTGCCAAAACCCGGGATTGGGCACGACAGACCCGACAAAGTTTCCATGCTTTTCAGCATACTTCTTTTATTTATGGTTGCTGTTACAAACACGGCTGCAGCTTTTCAGCTCGCAACCAAACACACACATGAACAACAACACAAACTCAAGACCGAATATAGACTTTAAAGCCTGCGAGGCGTGATTGCGGATGCCGTCCAGGAGTGTCCGCCACCCTCGCAGCCAAGCCTCAGACCACGCCCCATCACAAAAGTATTGTTAGAAGCTGCCTATTTAATACATGTGGTAACAGGCTGAATATGTTGCAAAGAGTCCCAAAATGTGACAACAAGATAAACAGCTAAATGAAGTTACAGACACATGCGACCATATTTGGAGGAGCATGCACAGACGATCTTACTCTTGCACTGATGTAGGAAGTAGCAACGTCTCGTGCATCTGTATGTTTTTAATGAATGTATAGTTTATGTTTTGGATCATATTTGTGACCTGATCACCATCATTCCCCTCCATAGACATCCATCATCAGAGTTGTTGTTGTCTGGTATCAATGCCAACAGAAGACGAGTATTTACTTTGCAATGATGCCAAAGAGAATTGAATCTTTCACCGCTGTCAGAATTGAGATGTTTCCAGATCATTGCCAATGGCAATAAATTAAAACAGAGTACATCCAATTCACATATTAGGGTTCCAATGAAATGTAACCCAATTACACACGCAATCAAAGTGTGAATCAGTCTTAAAAACAGGTTTGTACCAATAAGAGCTCTCATAGTCGAAAACTTTCTAAGCACAGCTGACAGTCCTGCGTTGAGTCCCTGCTGAGCTAATAGTCTCAAGAAGAATGAGTGTCCTGTTATCTGTCCAATGTGAGTTATTAGCCAAAAGAGTATTAAGGTTAAACAGACCCCTAATCACCCTGAATGAGCTCAGTGAGAACCGCACTGATTGGCAAATCCCAACACGTCTGTCTGAGCGCTGCAGTCTTAACGTCTCCTCAGACATACAGCTGAGATTTGGCTTTCTGCGCTGCCGATGTGAGGGATTTTGTTTGAAGGGTGTGAAGGTTGAGCCATAATGTGAGAGCACAGCAGAAGTGTCAGACGTTGTAAAAGCATAAAGTGACACTTTGATTGTTCTTGTAGAAATGCAGGCTGTTTTGGTGCCAGTCAGTAACATCTGCACTGCATTAATCATTTCTCAGGCGTGTTTTGGCACTTTAAGTCCAAGTGTCTCTTTAGTGCACATTAAATTCTCTAAAGAACAATTGGATGGATAGCCTTAAAGTTTTTTTCATGCGTTCAATCAAAAAACTGTTTAGATGTTTTGCTCAAAGCGAAAAGCCTCATGATGGCCGGATGAAAAGAAGGGAAATCACCACTGATTTGAAGGCCTAGAATGATCCCGGTGATTACTGAACTTTTCATTTTAGGTCAGTGCTTTGGTCTATGAGACTGCACTCTGAGACTTGGTGCTAATTGGCAAATGATAAGATGTTAAACTAGAGCACTCGGTTAAAGTTGTTTTGACACGTGTAATGGAGAACTCAACTTTTATAGATCACCCAGATGAGCATATCAGAAACCAAATATCCACTTCAGTCAGACTCAACACGCCAGCTCCCTGGTACGAAAATATCAGATTGAGCTTCTAGGTACAGAACTGTTAAAAGGTATTGAGTGTTTTCTTATTTATTTGCACATTTGTGACACTTAAATGCTTCAGATGATCAAATATGTTTTAATATTAGACAAAGATAACCCGAGTAAATAGAAAATCCAGTTTTTAGTGATTAACCACATAAAAAAAAAAGCTGAGTCGAGTTTCACTAGCCGCACCCAAGCCTGATTGCTAGCAGATCTATTGAATCAAGTAATGACTTGAATAGAATCTGTCTGACAAAGTGATGTAGTCTTAAAGATCTCAAAAAGCTACACATCATCCAAAGAAGCAGCAGAGAAACAAAGTATCTGACATCTATCAGTCAGGAAAGGCTTATAAGGCTACTTCTAAGGCTGTGGGACACCAGCAAACCACCGTGAGAACTATTAACCACAAACTGGGAAAATGCAATGCGAATTGTCTGAAGAATTCACAACAAGTCAGGGTGCATGCCCATGTTCATCATGCTCAGCCTCCTTCAGCTCCACCTCTAGATTAAACCAAATGAATTTTTTTAGCAATGCAAACATGTCTGACACCGAATACATGTCCCGGTGTTATGTATTTAAAATGCAAAAACTGAATTCCGTTACAGTTACCCCTTAAATAGGTGATAATTAGAATACAGTTACTTTGTTGAAATAAATGGGTTACATGGCAGTCTTTTCTCGTTTCATATGTTAGGCAATCCCCTCTCTAATTTTGGTAATTCACACTTTGCCAGAAACCCAAACAAAAAAATAAGAGGCTCTAATGACTTGATTCTGGTCACTGCAAAAGCAGCTTTGACGATAATTACTATGCATCATCCCTCTTGATGCTCTGCTGAACAGCAGGACCTGACCCTATATTTTACTGAAATACAAAATGGACTACAAGTTGGACCCACTGATTTTTGCCTTCAGAACTGCCTTAATTCTCCATGGCATAGATGTGTGTTCTTCAGCCTACCTTGGTTTTAACAAGTGGTTATTTAAGTTAGTCTTGCCTTCCTATAAGCTCAACACAGTCTAGCTATTCTCATCTGACCTCTGGCATCAGAGAACTGCTGCTCAATAGATATTTTCTCTTTCTCAAACTACTGTCTGTAGACCCCGTGTGGAAAATCCCAGTAGATCAGCAATCAACCACACCACATTCAAATCCATAAAATTATCTTTCTTTTCTTCTGAAGTTTCATTTAAAGTTCCACCAGGTGAACTTCAATATGTCTACATGCCTAAATGCCTAAGTTGCCAGTGAGTGTAGTCTTGTGCTTTTACTTGCTGTCTTGTTGTTCTCTCGTTTCTCCTCTTTTCTCTCTTTCGCCTCAAACCCCAAAAGGTCAGCTCTTAGGGGTTGAGGCATGTGGCTGCCTCTCTCTGAGCCTATTTTAGGGCTTTCCCTGTTAAAAGTGAGGACTTCCTTCTTCCTTCGCCATTTGCTAGCTCACAGGGGATTCTCGGATCAATGGAGTCCCTCTTGTAATATTGTACAGTCATTACTTTGCTATATAAAGCACAGTGTTGTGGTAATATAAAAATAAAACTGAATTGAGGCTAAATAATTTAAACAACTTTCTTGTCATATTCTACCATAACGATGTTTTATTACAACGAATTTGGCTTTCAGTCCCAGTCAGAGCTAATAAATAATGCTACTTATCAGCCCTTTAAAGACCTTCCCAGAATAGCTACACTGAACACACATGAGAAATAGTCTGAAGTGACTAAGTATCTGGTCTCCTCTGGATTCTTTATAAAAGTCACGCTTGTGGGTTGATGTTATTGATGACTATCGCTCATTGATCTGTGAAGAGAGAAGAGCTGCTGGTTATTTTTTGTTGCTGTGCCTCACTCTGCTTAATACTGCTGTCTTTTCCGCTCATTAAGCTGCAGAGTGTTGTACACAGTCTCACATCGAACACTACATCATACTGTATTTGTTTTCTGTTTTAACTAAACCCTCGCACCATCTGTGCCTTCTTTATGTTGCCAATCTGGAATTTAATACGAGCAAGGGATTTTGTCGTAAAATCATTTGGTGGTTCAATAAAGTTTGTGTGCCAAGGAGAAGGCTCCTTGCTTTTCTGCCCTCTAAGCAATAATGTTGAGATTACTGAACAACCCCTGAAGAAGTCCAACAAGAGTGGGGGTGGGGCTTATGAGAGATGTGAGGGCTCAGACGAGGTGATAAAATGATGAAGGGTCCGAGGCACCTAACACAAACAATTTGTTCCTAAAAATGGCCCCTGGATGTTGTCAACAAGTAACAAAGTCAATAGAAAAATGCCTGCATGAGTGTGCAGTGAGTCAAAAATATTCTTTTATGGCTTTACATAAATTTTTATTCTTCACTTTGAAGCTCAAGGATCTGCTGGGGAATAATGATTTCTTGCTGCTAATTTATGTATTAGCCTAAAATGTAGTGAGATTTTAAGCATTCTGGGCCATATTTGCCAGCGATGGTGGAGCATGACCATAAATACAGAGAGCTTCTCAAGGAAATCAGATCGTTTGTTTTGATGGAGCACTGAGGTGAAATACAAGCATCCAGAAGCCGGTAGTGCGCTTCATTTTAAATTCTATCATTTTTCAATCTTACATTTGCGTCTTGATTGAACTGTGATGAAGATTTAAAATTAAAAAAAGATTTGATTTAGTCACAGTTGTATTATATTTTACTTTATAAATGCCACAGTGCCAGTAATTTGAACTAAGGGAGATATATATGTAAATATTACTAAGAAGAATCCACTAGATCAGGGGTGTCCAACTCCAGGTCTCTAGAGCCGGTGTCCTGCAGGTTTTAGATGTCACCCTGGGTCAACACACCTGAATCAAATGATTAGTTCATTACCAGGCCTCTGGAGAACTTCAAAACATGTTGAGGAGGAAATTTAGCCATTTAAATCATCTGTGTTGGATCAAGGACACATCTAAAACCTGCAGGACACCGGCCCTTGAGGCCTGGAATTGGACACCCCTGCACTAGATAGACTGTGCCCTCATTTACTACAGTGAGTGCAGAATTATTAGGCAAATGAGTATTTTGTCCACATCATCCTCTCCATGCATGTTGTCTTACTCCAAGCTGTATAGGCTCGAAAGCCTACTACCAATTAAGCATATTAGGTGATGTGCATCTCTGTAATGAGAAGGGGTGTGGTCTAATGACATCAACACCCTATATCAGGTGTGCATAATTATTAGGCAACGTCCTTTCCTTTGGCAAAATGGGTCAAAAGAAGGACTTGACAGGCTCAGAAAAGTCAAAAATAGTGAGATATCTTGCAGAGGGATGCAGCAGTCTCAAAATTGCAAAGCTTCTGAAGCGTGATCATCGAACAATCAAGCGTTTCATTCAAAATAGTCAACAGGGTCGCAAGAAGCTGTGGAAAAACCAAGGCGCAAAATAACTGCCCATGAACTGAGAAAAGTCAAGCGTGCAGCTGCCAAGATGCCACTTGCCACCAGTTTGGCCATATTTCAGAGCTGCAACATCACTGGAGTGCCCAAAAGCACAAGGTGTGCAATACTCAGAGACATGGCCAAGGTAAGAAAGGCTGAAAGACGACCACCACTGAACAAGACACACAAGCTGAAACGTCAAGACTGGGCCAAGAAATATCTCAAGACTGGTTTTTCTAAGGTTTTATGGACTGATGAAATGAGAGTGAGTCTTGATGGGCCAGATGGATGGGCCCGTGGCTGGATTGGTAAAGGGCAGAGAGCTCCAGTCCGACTCAGACGCCAGCAAGGTGGAGGTGGAGTACTGGTTTGGGCTGGTATCATCAAAGATGAGCTTGTGGGGCCTTTTCGGGTTGAGGATGGAGTCAAGCTCAACTCCCAGTCCTACTGCCAGTTTCTGGAAGACACCTTCTTCAAGCAGTGGTACAGGAAGAAGTCTGCATCCTTCAAGAAAAACATGATTTTCATGCAGGACAATGCTCCATCACACGCGTCCAAGTACTCCACAGCGTGGCTGGCAAGAAAGGGTATAAAAGAAGAAAAACTAATGACATGGCCTCCTTGTTCACCTGATCTGAACCCCATTGAGAACCTGTGGTCCATCATCAAATGTGAGATTTACAAGGAGGGAAAACAGTACACCTCTCTGAACAGTGTCTGGGAGGCTGTGGTTGCTGCTGCACGCAATGTTGATGGTGAACAGATCAAAACACTGACAGAATCCATGGATGGCAGGCTTTTGAGTGTCCTTGCAAAGAAAGGTGGCTATATTGGTCGCTGATTTGTTTTTGTTTTGTTTTTGAATGTCAGAAATGTATATTTGTGAATGTGGAGATGTTATATTGGTTTCACTGGTAAAAATAAATAATTGAAATGGGTATATATTTGTTTTTTGTTAAGTTGCCTAATAATTATGCACAGTAATAGTCACCTGCACACACAGATATCCCCCTAAAATAGCTAAAACTAAAAACAAACTAAAAACTACTTCCAAAAACATTCAGCTTTGATATTAATGAGTTTTTTGGGTTCATTGAGAACATGGTTGTTGTTCAATAATAACATTATTCCTCAAAAATACAACTTGCCTAATAATTCTGCACTCCCTGTATGTCCTACATTGTCATCATGGTTTTCATGTCCATGTCCAAATGGATACTCAGGTAGGCTGTAGCATTTAAATAATCCCCAGTTGGTGCTAAGCAGCCCAAAATATTGCCCACACCACTGCACCACCAGTTGCCTGAATTCTTTGTGAAACAGTCAGCCTGTCTGGCACCAACAACCACATTAAAAACTCATCTTTCTTCCAAGTTTTAATGCTCATTTTTAACTTGGTCATCTTCCTTTGTCTACATTCATAAATGTATTAATTTGCTGACTTGTTATTGGCTGATTAGATATTTGCATTGATAAGCAAGTGAGCAAGTTTATCAAATGAAGTGGGCAGTGAATGTTTAAATAAACTAAAGGATGTGTATCTCTCTGTCAGACTCTTTAATATCACATCACTTTCATTTACTTATTACTCATTTGACTTAGACTCTAATAGAAAAGTTTAAAAAGTCAATAGATTCTTACACTGGTGGCATACTGGATGTCCATCCATATGTTTGTCTCCCTGGAGAGGTCTGACGTCTCAAACAAGTTTTCCATCACCACCTCACCAATCATATCATGCCGTGAAAATCGATCAAAGTCAAAAACACTCATATGGAGCTTTCTAGCGGCCAGCTCATCATAAGGCACAGGAAACTGGAAGCTCTCACTGAATGTGGGGTTGAGTGTCTTCCGGTGGACGCGAGTCTGGAACTTCTTGCGGTCGGGCAGCAGGTAGACCTTCACATAAGGGTCAGATGTGCCACATAAGTCCTTGGCTGGCAGGTCTACTGCCTTGAGGATGTTGACAAGGAGAGACTCATTTTCATAGTCATACTTGAGGGAGAAGTTAATCTTGCCACAGTTTTTGCTGCTGTCGTTGGATGAGTCCTCTGATTCTGGGACCTTCTGTTGGTAGAGCTCTGGCTGGATACGTCCGATGCTAGTGGGCTTTTCATCCTTGTCCACCATGTAGTCATTTCCTAGGTCTAGACTGCCTACCTGCATCTGCCTAGGCAGGTGTCTTTTGAATGAGTTGTGCCTACAAGGACAGAAAAGAGAAAAATAATACAAGTGGGAAGGAATAGCTGTAGTTTGAGCTGTGGTGAAATGATAACATATTCTCATTTTCAACTAGTCACAGACTGACATTTGGTGAGGAAAGTCTTCCTGTAAGTTAATACAAAAATAACCAGTTTAACATCTCACAATGTAATGAAAAATGGCAGCCTGCAAAAATACACTGAAGGAAGATGGGACTGCAGATACTAAGTGACAACACCTCCAACCAGAAGACAAAAATAACAGTAATTAGTCATTTGCAGGACTGCTTTTTTAACAATTTGATATTACTTTTGTTTTTGACATTACTATCTCTTTTTTTTTTTGTTTAGTTAGGTTTAGATATTAAAACTATGAAATCAGGTTTAGAATATTAAATATTTTATACTAAAAATATTTTAGTTTAAAATTTTGCCTTCTCTAGGACAAGCACATATGAAAAGGTCTTTCATGTGAATATGGTTTCTCTGACATTTCCTTGATTTTCTTAATTTCAAAGGTTACAGTCTCACCGTGTCACGGCATTTATTTCAGATTCTGAGCTACCCAAAGTGAACACTATCCGACTAACATGCAGGTTTAAAAAATGACAAGACTCAGTGCTTTTTAATGTGATGTCTATGAGTGTTCGGCATCTGACTCTGAACTAAACTAGTGTTGGCACAATACAACCAAATGTATCACGTTATGTCTTCTGCTATAGTGGCAGTTGATCAAAGTTCATTCTTGCCTTAAAAAAAAAGGATGTGACCTGTATTTCTACAGTAAGTAGGCCTGTATTTCTGTTGTATGGGGCTATTGGTTTCTTTGTCTGCCAACCCCTCCTAAACCATCAGGAGTTGGCATTAAGTTGACCTGAAAGCTACATGAACACTGGAAGAAATCCACTTGTCAAGCATCAGTTTGACAGCTGCTCGTTTCAGTTGCCTATGTAACCCTCTAATGTATTTAGTAACAGGCCACATGTCAATCACTGGTATCCTATGTTGTCACTGGTGATCGTTTCAATTGTTTACCTGGAAGATGAGAAAAGTTTATCCCGGGTTTTACCTACTTTGCCTATAGTAACCCGAGGGTTCTTATCTACATCAGATATATTGATGTCATTACATTCCCTAGTAATCTCCCATCAACTGGCAAAAGTTACTTGGTTTTAGCATTTATGTACCTATAACATCCTATGAAAGCATCTTATAACTTTAATTTCATGACAATAAAATTTATATCCATATCCATGAAAGCAAAATTATACATGCCTAGCAACCACTTAGCAACGAGGTAAAATGACCCTTTAAAAAAAAAAAAAAAAAAACTTTCTCAATGTGAATAATTGTCTTTTTGCATGAATAGGCTGTACAATACTATACCATGGCCATGTATTAGTATGCATAATAGCTATAATAAATCATTGATGTTAACTAAATGGTAACGTGGAGTTGTGCTTGTAAAGCTGCAAGTAATCTCTTCAAACTGTGTTATATTTATACTTCTGAAGAAAGTCTTATAGACAGTAATTTTAAGCTGGAGAGAGGTGCCTCTTAGGCAGAGTTTAGTATTCTTCAATGTTATTTATAATTTACTATGGAGGTATTAAACTACTTAGAAAATGTTAATCCTTATATGTAGCAGTGACTTCCCCCTGGTTTACACACTTTATTCCACGTTAGATAACACTATGTCTTGAATTCAGCTTACACATAATCCTCTACATATGCACACATATTATAAATAACCACATGAGACAGTCTCATGTGTCATCAGATTTGCATGCACATGCATGTATGTGACTGACCGAGTGGAGGAAGCTGGTTCAGTTGTTTGCCTTTGCATGCGTTGTGTGCGGCGCAGGAAATGCTCCCTCATGGAGAGTTGCACATCAGTGGGGATGTCAGGAGAGGTATGGCTTATCTTCACCGCAGCCTCCAGGAAACCAATCGAGCCCATGGGGTCCTTCACCTTCTCTGTTGCCATGGTGACTGGCGTCTGCTGGGGGCTGGGTAACAGGAGTGGCGGCTGAAGCGGGCAGTGCTGTGGGCCACGGGCCGGGCTGAGGGATGGACTGAGAAAGGGGGCCTTAGTTCGCCAAGGTACCCAGCACAGCTTCCAGGAGACAAATGTAAGAAGTCCCAGGAATGCCAGGCCACAGACCACAAACACACCGAGCAGGAGGCCAAAAGTAGCGTCTGGTGACGAGCCATGGGGGCCAGAAACAGAGGATCATACAATATGGATAAACAGATGGTGATCACAAGGGTGAGAGGGGACAGAGGACACAGAGAAACAGAAAGAGTCGGTTAGGACATGATTTTTCAAAAGGCCTGGTGCTAAATCTGGTTTTAATGTAAGACTAAGGACAGTAAGCAAGAACTACAAGATTCATAAATATTAAAGTAACCTCCATTTGTCTTCCTTTGGGTCAACAGATAAGAGAAGCATGGTAGTGTAAACGGAATTTAAATGTGTGCATGTGTGTAGTGTGAACTCATACGGGGATAATTTTCTATGACATTACACTCATTCTAGTGGTAAAAGTAATTATAGCCTGACAGATGATAGTAAAAAAACCCAAAACAAACAATGTAAAGTGTTTACATTTGTAAAAAGGCTCATGAGAAAAGGACCACGGTGCCAGGAGCCTTCCACTGGGATTCTCATCATGAAGCAGATAAAGCGGCCGGGCACAGTCAAACTCATTTATTTTATGGTATGAAAATGCTTTCCGGGGAACAAGCAGCATACAAAAAGCTGGAGATGTACCAGGAATGCTGACAAGCACTCTGCAAGGATTCACAGGGACCATAGGGGGGAAAAAAATTACTAAACACAGGAAACATACAGTCTGCATCTCTCAAATTTCCCTTTAGGGCATCTTTCTTATAGTAATTGTATCTCACTATATGACGCTTGGTGTGTCTTCCACGTGCTTCGACAGGGATTGCTTTCAATTCTCCAATCTTTGCCTGAGTGTTCTTTTCCATGCACTGTGATTGCTCAGATTTAGCCGCAATAACTCGTGCCATGGAGCATCTCATGGCCTCTCAGAGGATGCTCTAACCCCCCTCTTCTCTCGACATAACACCACAGAAATCAGCGGCAATACGCACTCGGTTTACTATCTGATATTTACCCAGCTCAGCCTTTTCTATAAGAAACCTGAGGCGTTTGAAGCTCTGTTTACTCAGGGTTTTAATTTTAGAGACCATATGTAGTATGCAAATAGTAATCAGGCAGCTAATGTGCTATATTTAATAGCAGTCAGCAGTCAGTATTTTTATGCTGTTTTGAATTATTTTAGCTTATAGGTTTATTTAAACGATTAAGTGAATTTTTTAAAAACAATTTTGTGTCTGTGTCCATTTATCATTTCCCCTGCATCTCTGTCTGGTGCTTTTACTCCATGTCCTTGTCTTTTTCCTCCTTAGAGATGGTTGGCCCTGCCTTTACTGGTTCCTTGTTACCTTATCAGTTCCTCCTGTGTATTTAAAATCTTGTCTTTACCTCTTTCAGTTTCTAGTCTTCCCACTTATCTGTTCTCCTTCCTTTTAACTCTCTGCTGACTCCCACTGAATACCTTCTTGTATCTTTAAGTTGTTCTCTAAAATCTGACTGTTTAGTTCTGGTTTTCATTATACAATGACATCACATTTTGGTTTGTGAAGTCCCATTTTGGAGCCTTGAGCTGCTGGCCATGAGAAAGAATGCAGATTTAAGACACTTTACACATTATCTTCACTTTTCAGACTTCGAGGCCAGTCCAGTATTTATGTACACAGTATATACATTTTATGGTTCACCCCTATGTGGGTTTAATTTCTGCATACACTCACCTTACCTGCTGATCCTTTATTTATTTATTTATTATCAGTTATTATCAGTATTTTTTTTCCTCTGGTCATTTACTCCATAAACCTCTGTGATTTCTTTTAAATAAGCTTTAAAGTTTACAATTGTTTTAAGAAACATGGAACTTTAATATTTATCTCTAAAATACATTAGAATTAAAGTATAAAGTTACAAAGAATTAAAATGCTTGAAAATAGCTTCTGGTTTTTTACATCATGTTTCATTTTTTATTTGTCCAAAGTGTTATGGAAAAAAAATCCCTAGAATCTGCAACCCCGTTTTGCACAAATTAAGAGCTTTGATGTTTAAAATTTCAAACTAAATGGAGAGTCCACTAAGAAGAATTTATAGCTTAGCCAAGCAGCGGTCTGGATTTCAAGTCTGGGGGATTTGTGCCTGAAGAGGATTTCTTGGCTGTCCACAGCCCTGGCCTCTCTATGTCATCTGAAATTTCACACAGCTCCCCACAAAGCTTCATCTCAGCTGGACAGTCGTTTGCCGAGTCTTCATCCCCCGTCACGGCAAATTGAAGCTGACCCTGCGCCGTGCAGTGAGATGTGCTGCTGCATGTCTGTCCTGACGATATTTCGCTGCAAAATATGTTGACAGGTAAGAAATTTCATTTGAACATGTGTACTCTGGTTTGTTTTTAACTTTTCCACTGCAGCAACACATCTTCAAACACAGGTTGACATTTGAGTTGGTGCCCAGCGCCACCTCCATCTTTGTGGGATGTTCTGAGTCTTAGTCATGTTGGTATTGATGAATTTTGACACTCCATTTATTGCATTTAATGCAAAATCGTGCACTAAATTTTAGAGCTTTGGGGGATGTAAATAGGAAGTCAAGATTTCCTGGTTTTAATATATTACTTGATATTTAAACCTTTATTCATGTTTGCGTTTTTGTAATTTGACATTAAAGCTATGGGGAATTAGCTGATAACAATTAGGTTTTATTCGAATTATCTGACATTAAATAAAATGCATAAAACCATCATGGCTTAGAGTCAGGTTTCAGGGTTACAAGAAGTGTATATTGTGTCATATTTGATAAGTTTAAGGGTTTTCAGTTATGATGAAATACAAATATAAAATGCCCTCTGGAAGGGAAAGTCACACTAACTCCAAATTCAGTTCAGTCCCCTTAACACACTTTCACTCCATTTACATGTTTGCATCAAGGATTCATCACATTAAGTGCTTTTCAGACCAAATAGCCTAAAGTGGAAGTGGGTTATGAAGCCCTCCAACACAGAGTCTAAGCTTACTAACTACTGTGGGAAGGTAAAGCATGTGACTATTTCAAGAGTGTCAGCAATAAACAAAAAGAAATGCACAATTTTTGTATATTTTAGATAATAAATTCCAATATTGACTAGAAATACCAATATATGAATATAGAAAAATAGGCTAATTAAAGAAAATGATAAAAACATCCAAATGAAACTGAATCGAGGCACATCTTCTAATAAGTGGTAGACATGATCTTAGTATGCTGATTACAAGGTCATCTCCAATCTTGCTGCTGTATTTCTACAACCCCCTTACTTAACAGACCCCTCATAAGCTTCAAGTGTGACTCCACACACTAACGGAGTGAGAGGGAGTAAGGGCCTGACTAGAATTAGGCTTAGATAAGTGTATATCATGCCTGTAGGCTCTGATTTGATATTAGGTTTGAGTATGTATTTTTATACTGCAGCTCCAAGTACTGACCGTGTTGATAAGGGGGTCCGTAAGGCACACACAATATCTAAAAGTGAGCCTCGCTGTTTGAAAACCTCTTCAGTGAACTACTACTCAAGGTGACTTGTGTAAACACGCAGGCACACATGAGTTCTTTGTAATACAAAGTTCAGACTCAAGTATTTTAAAGTTCACATTTTCAACTCTGGAGAGAGAACTACACGAGAAACTCTAAACGATACTTCAAACAACCACACTTTAGACAAACACAGACAACCCTTCTTTGAGGAACTGGCAAAAGATAGACGTTTGTCCAGTCGGCATCTATTAACGTTTTCCAAGGTCGCATGCTGGCTCTGTTAATTCCTGCTCACAGAGGTAGATTCAACTTCATCCTCAAACAGTAAGAAATAACTTATATTTAAATTCTCATGCAAAATTTTATTCTCCCACCAAGGGCAGCTGTAAATTGCTAAAGACTTGCAAAGATAGGCCTAACTAGAATAACGATGGATGTTATGCTTGCAGGGTCATCTCGGGAGGTCTTAGCAGGTAGTTAAAAATTTCTTAATATGAGTCCTACAAATCCGCACCTTTTATTTAAGAAATCTTTTGCTTGTTAGGTATCTGAGGTAAAAACAGTGTGCAGCACAAAGCACTTCACTAAGTAAGTTTATTTCATTTTTTTTATTTCAAACATGTGCCTTCACAATCATTACAAAATATCATTCCATTATTTGTTAGAAAAGGAGTAGGCAGAAGTATATACCCTGCCAACAGATGACAAAAAAGTGGAGACATATTTAATCACTCTTTTGCTGCATGCGTTCTTTTACTACCTTGTATCAGAGGCAGATTTGGTGAGTTGTGCATCCTCACATACACATGTCACAGACAACATAATAAAACATAGCACAAAAAATACTTAATGTGCTGAACACTGCAAAAAAAGAGTCAGAAAGTCTTAGCATCTTGAAAAAAGAAGGCAACTGGACATCTTTGAGTTTATGAAGACACTTGGAGAGTGCCAGGTTTTTAACACCTATTGGGGTCAGAAGATGCCAAAGTTCACATTTTTAACTGAGAAGAGGAGGCCACTGCGTTTGTGTTTACTGTGAACGACCATCACTGAACAGAGGTGCAGTCCACAGATCCCTTCTCACGTGCTTCTACCCCACTCACACCTCGCCTCAGGTGACCTCAATAGGTCTCATGATGGGCGAGGGCAAAGTTTCACATGAGCAAAGGCCGTTTTTCACCCCTTGGCTCATGAGATGATTCAAATGCCATAAACAGCCAATATTTGAATAACAGATAATAATCATGGTTTTTTTTTCAGTGTAGAAATGGGATAGTGTCCTAAACACAGATGCTCTCTTTTGCATCACATTTTGCCTCACAGTTAATTTCTGAGTAGAAAATAATCTCAAAGCTGTACACATTAACTTTTCTGACCCTTAATGGATGTGATCCCTCTTTTTATTCCTGTGGTCTCAGTATCTCACATAATTTCAGTCGTGGTGTTTTCTGTTTTCAGATCATTTGCAGTCTCAGTGGATTCAGGATGGGCTGATGGCTTGCAGTTCAAGAAGGAACATAATAACACATTTCAGCCTGGCTCAAAATCACTTGACACTTCCTGTACTTGGCTG